TTATATTTATTATCTCTTATGTAATTTATATTTTATATTAAAAATAATTAACAAATTTTAGTTTCTCTTTTCTTTTTCTTTTTTATATTGTATATAATGTTTTATGAGTAATGCATTTTTGTTTGTTTTATTATTATGTTATGTTTTTTTTATGTAAATAATAATTTTTATATTATACTTAATGTTTTTGTTTCAAAATTTAACTTATGCGATTTTTATTATCTTATTTTGTAGTGCCTTTTGTTTTGTTAAATAATTTTCTGATTTTGTTTACTTAAATTAAAAATGTTTTCTTTTTATGAATATTTTTATTAAAATATTTTATTATAATATTGGTTTTTAAATTTTTTTTCAAGTGAAATAATATTGATTTAGGAAATTATTTAATTAATTGTTGTTTGAAATAATTAATAATAAGAATTTAAATTAAAAATGTTTAATGGGAAATTAAAAATTAAATTAAATAGATGCAAATATTATACCCTTTTATTACATTAAATTTAATTTTAATATTTAATAGTAAGTTAATGTTAATTTAAACAAATTATTGTAATAAAACTTCTGAATTGATTTATTATATTTTCAATTAGTTTAGCCCTTCATTAATTCTGTTAGATAAATATATCTATTTATATAAATAACACCTCAGGAACCTAAAATGTAATAATGAAATGTTCAAATTGAATTTAATAATTTATATTTAAGTTGAATTAAGAATTAAGTTGATTAAAGAATCGTATGTCATTACATTGTTTTAATCAAGGTATACACAGTATTGCACATAAATATTATTATTTTCATATGACCAATTTTTGTACGTGATTTCTAGATGTAATACCAAAAAGAGGTCAGAATATTTTTTTTTTATTATTTAATATAGGTACTCTATACTATAGGCTACTGTAGTAAGCTCTACGCATTTGACAGTGTTGTCAATATAATATATCAGACGCATCAAACAATGTTAAAATATATAAAGTAATTAAATAACGCAGAAGATTCAAATAAAATTGTCTTTTAAGAAATTTATTAATCGAAAATTTTATTCGTTTAACGATTCAAATTCATTTAACATTTCGTATTAGTTCGAATAACAGGAGTTATTATTGTAAAATTGTATTGCTACATATGTAAGTGAAAATTTGTTGTACTTGTAATTTTTATTTGTTAAACCACATAATTGAAAATGCTGCACTGAAAAAAAATTTTGTTTTTATTTTAGTTTTTAGTCAAATAGAGCTCAGACTGATATTGTAATAGGGCACCGACACACAGGCAACTAAGCAATGCAGTTAAACAATCAAACAGTTTGTAATTTTTATTTAATACGCTGATTTTAATTCATGTAATAGTTTAGTTTGTCAGATGTGTCTAACAATTCCGGTAAACATTGCATGTCTATCGGAACCTCAATTGCTATCAATTTAATTTAATTGAAATCCATATCCGTATTTAATTAAAATTTAATCATATTAAAAAAAATTTTTTTGCCTTAAAATATATGTACATAAAATTTAATGAGTAAGAATTTCAAAGTATCAATATCATTTAATATATTAATCAAATGAATTATTTACTTAAGTATGAAATCAAATTTGAAATGGTAAATTATTTTATTTGTATAGATGCGATACCAATGCGATAATTATCAAATTACGAAAATTTTATTTTAGCCTTATTCTTGAATTAATTTTGTTTTTTTTTTTGCATTCGAATTGATTTTTAATGCAAAAAATTTAAAACTAGACTGTGTTGTTTATAAACCCATAAATTATAACAGTTCATATGCAATTCCAGAATTATTGCAGCAATTTTTTTGCTATTATTATTCAGTAATTATAACTAATAAGTTGAAATGTCTATTTATAATATTATATTATTCAAAGTCCAGGGTACATTACCTATTTAATTTAATTTTTAAACACCTGTATATAAGAAAAATAAAATTAATGGCTGCCATGAGGGAAGTAGGTTACTCATCTTTTAGTTTTAGTCATCTTTTTTTTTTAATTTATACTAGATATTAACAAAAAATTATAATTTCAATATTTCAAAAGAAACTCATAATTTGGTGCAAAATTTTTATGAATTTGTTATTTTGTGTTTATTTTTGTTTTTGGTGTGGTTGGTTTCGATTTAAATTCCTGTATTATTTCATATTCGTTCATCATTTTTATTTCAAATTTTCTATTTAGCATAGCTATTTTTGTATTTTGCAAACATTTTGTGTTAATTGTTTTTTTTTTTTAAAGGACGGGAATTGGCTTTTGTTATGCAGTTTTAAATTTTTTAAATTTTATTTTTTATTTTTTATTTTTTTTTATAAATATGTGTATATATTCGTTTTCAATTTTATTTTATTTATGTAGATCTACTGTAGAACATTTGAAGAGTGCAAAACATAAAATTATAAATTATGTCATTTTAATTAAATTTAAAGTATACTATTTTGTTTGATTTTCTTAGAATCAAAATTTGCTTGTCTACGAAATTTATATTTTTCTATTATTTTAGATTCTAAATTTTAGATTTTTATTACAACAACTACATTTTTGTTTTAGTTTTCATCTACCTTTTCAACTACAATAATTGTATGTTTTTTTTTTTTTTTTTTAAGAAAATCTACTTTTTTATTTAAGAAATTTTAAGCAAAAAGTATTTGTTTTTCTCAATTTGATTTTAATAATTTTTTAGTTAATTATAATTTTACAAGTTTTTGTTTTAAAGTAAGTTTGAACATGATTTTTTCTCTATAGTTTTTTTTTTTTAAAGGTAACTAATTTTTTTAATAACTATTTTCTATTCCATTATCTTAGAAGAAGAATTTTGAATTCAATAAATGCTCTCTATATTTTTGATATTACTCTGCGAGTTTAACTTGAATAAAGCTGAATTCGTTAACAAGCTGAAGCTTTTATAGCTAAATTTTCTATAGTAATTCGGTGTATTGTTGCATTATTGAATTCATTCTAATAAATCGCTATTAGGTAAGTTATAATATGAGAAATTAATAATAATTTGAAATTGGAAATGAAAACATAAATCAAAATAATTCAATAAAATATAAGAAGTGCTAATGATTTAGCATAACAATTTCAGTTTAATATACAGTTTTGCCTATATATAATAATCAAAATAATTAAAATCTTAAAATAAAATGTGGAATCCCATGGAAGCCCAAGTTTATTTCTACAATTTTTAATTTCTTTTCAATTTTTTTTTTTTAATTTTTTGTTTTATACTACATATTATTATTTAGAAAAAATTATGACTATTATTGATTTTTATTAAATTTCCAATTAATTTACATTATATAATATTATTCGTCACAATTTTTTGTATTCTAAAATTTGTTTTTTTTTATAAATTATTATATTCGCTATATTTTTCACTGAATATCTTTTATAATAAGCATAAATGCAAGGGACCAAATTTATAGCCAATATTTATGTTAAATTATTGCATAAAAAATTTTTATTTCTTTTTCTTATACTTTTTCATAAAAGCATCCTTTTTTCTCTAATACTTAATATTGTAAAACATTTTTTATTAAGTATTGTTACAATAAATTTTCTTTCATTAGAAATATCATTCATAGAATATTTTTGAAATAAAAATTTTAATATTTGAAAAATGAGAAAAAGAAAATTAAAGTATTGATAAAACTGGAAAAATTTTAAGAATAATTGTATATTAAAATTTGGCAGTGCAACATTTAATTATATATAATTAAATAAAAAGAAAAATTAACAAATAAATATTCGAATAAAAAATAAATAGAATTTTTAAAAATATTATTAAAATTGTTTAAGAAAAAGCTTATAAATTGGCAGCTTTACAGAATAAATGAAGTTTAAATAATATTTTTAATTTTGAATACGGCGTTAAAATTTGCAAGAAACAAAAAGTATGAAATATAACATGGTAGAACTAATTTTTACATAGCAAACGTCTCAGAGACCTTTAAAAATTTATTTTTTGTATTAAATAAACGATTATGGCAAATGTAAAATATGACAATAATATTCCTCTATAATTACGAGTACTAATTACAATATCATCTTTAAGTTTTCGAGATATTTGCATACTATTTTTTCCAATTTTCTTCTTAAACAGTTCTATTTTTATTTGAAATATGTTGGTTAAATTGAAAACATACCAGAAATATTTTAGTTCAGGTTTACCAGTATTTATTAATTAGATTTGAGTCGGTTTCCAATTTTTTTTCTCTATACCATTCATTAAAATTTGAAAATTAAATTTCAAAATAACAATATTTTAATTAAAATTTCATCCCTTTATATATTTTCAGTATTATGAAAATTTCGTGTTCACATAATAATAGTTAGTTTTTGTTGAAATATCTTTTAATGTGATTAGTTTTCTTTAATAACAATATTGTCTTACAGTTCTTATATTAAATATCAAATATTACCCTTAAAGCTGTTTTTTTCTTTCTTAAATTAATGTTTTAGTTATATTATGATTTCGATATAATTGACATCCTCTTCAAATCACAATATTAAGAATCAATTCAATAAATTTTTACATTTCAGATTTTAAGTAGTATTTCATACTATATATTATACATTACAGACATAAGTATAATAGGAATTTTCAGTAAAGTTTTTGATTTTCTCAAGTATTCATTGTCCTATACAACACATTAAAATTATTTAAATTATTCGTTGGTAGATAAATTTCTAAAGCAAATAAATCTCAGGATAATAATTTTCTAAAAAAAATGTATTTTTTTCCTCTTCAAATCTAGATATTCTTGTAAATTTCCAAAAAGGTAATAGCAATTCAGCAGTTTAGATAAGATTTAATATTCAGAGCAAATAAAATTTGTTTCTAATTAATATTTTCTTAAAATATTGCAAAATAAGATAATTATAAACTCTATAAAGAATTAAAATATTTTAAAATAAAATAAAAAAAAAAAAAAACAAACAATACTAAAGAAAATTGTTGCTTGAGTTGATCTTTTATTTTAAAAAATTAAATATTTTCATAATATATCATATTATTTTGTATTTATTTATTTATAATAATATTAAAGAAATGCGCCAAAACATAAGATGTCCAAAATTAAATAGGCGTTTTTAACATAATATTTTTATAGGTGATTTTTTAAAAATTTCTTTTAATTAAATTTTCTTATAATTTGAGTTTCTAAAATATAACAAAAAGAAAAAAAAAAGAAAAACAATTCATCTTATAACAAAATAATAATTATAATAATTAATTAATTCATTAATAATAATAATAATAATAATATAAACAATTATGCTAGTAATCATTATGACAGAGTCAGTGATATTTAATGTAACATTGCTTTTTTGTATTAAAAAAAAAATATAATTTTTTTTTTCTTTAAAATATCATTTATAATAGTTTTTAAAAGATAACAATTTATTAATTTTTTTTTATTTTTTCAAATAATGCTACAACAAAATATAAGGGTTTGTGAATTAAGAGAATAATTCAAATCTTCAGGTTAATTCTAACTTATTATAATTGAAACATTTTATTATTTTAATCATTTATTTAATAATTTTTAAGTTCATCTTAGTGTCTGTCTTTAATTTGAGTTGGCATAAAAAAAAATCGGGGTAAGAGTTTAAAATATAATTTTAGTATAAGCATACGATTCTTCTTACCATGTTCTGCAATAATATAAAATTTAATTGTTATCGGCATATTCAATTTAAATTTTTAACAATTTGAAATATTTTTTTAAAATCAAAATTTATAAGAATAAAATTTTTGTAAAAATTGTTATTAAATATTACAATAAATTAAGATTAATTTAAATTGAACATTGAAGTTTTTTTTTTTGTTATAGTACAGAATAATTAGAACATTTTTGAACTTTGTATTTATTTAAAGTAAACAAAAATATAAATTTAGTTTTTATATATGAAAAATTCAAAAAAATTTTTGTAAATTTTAAAAATATTCTTGATATCTTAAAAAATTGCAAGTACATGATTGGTTTTAATTTCATTTTATATTTAACAAGAAAACTCAGATAACAAACATTCTTTAAAATATTTCTTTTAAATTCAAAGCGTACGCGGGAAATGCAAAATGTTGTTTTTTCAAAAATTCAATGTGTTTAAATTAGAAAATAAAATTTTAAACATTAAAAGGCAATAATATAACGCGCTGCAATCATATTTTAGAATTAGATATTTAATTAATAAAATTTCAAATATAATTGAGAAAAATAAATAAATTTCTGTAAATCGTAATAAATACAATAATTTAAATTTTTATTAAAATAGATGTAGAATTTTGCAATCATAATTAAATAAGAATATTTTATTAAATTATAAAAATTTTAAATTCACATAAGAAAAAAAAACAGACAGACAGACATAGAAAAAAGAAAAAAATATATCAAAATTATAGAAAATTAAGAATAAAAAAGAATTTATTTATTTTTTTGTCAACCTTTTCTCATACTAAAATTTCAATTATATATTAAATTTTTTTCATTTAAATCTTTCATATCCTTTTCATTTTCTATTTCGTTTCTAAATTTTTTTTTTTATTATATTTGAACAATAATTAATATTTTCAATTCTTTTTTTTTTGTTATTATTGTTATAATTGCAGTTGTTTTGTTGTTTTATTAGCTAACATGTTAAATGTTATTTAATTATTTTGTAATTCAATTTTTTTTTTAAACTTTACTTAAAATATTTTTCTTATTCCCATAAAATTTTTAATATTATCTCTTTTTTTGATAATTTTATGTTTCTTTTTGCGTTAAATTAAAAACTTGTGTTTTTTTAGTATTAATTTTTTTTTTGCATTAATTTAAATTTACAAGTTTACATTTAATAATTTCTCTATACTTACAATTTAGTTTTAATTTTTATATTTATTTTTTTTTTGTTTCATTAATTTCTAATGTCCGTTACTTTCTTTAAATTAAATTTTCTTTTTAATTTTACTTTGTTTTTTTTTTTTTTTTAATTTTTTGTATAATTTTATAACATTTTTTTTTAATTTTCTTTATACCTTCCTTTTGTTAAAATAAATAATTCTTTTTTTTTTTTTTTAATTTTTTTAATATTTATTTATTTTAAATTGTTTTGTTTTTTTTTTTATTTTGTAAATTAATTTAATATTTAAATTTATATTTAAAGTTAGTTTGTTTCATTTGTTATTTACTTTTTTTTTACTTTAATAATGAATTTTATTTATTTTCTTCACAATTTTTTGATTTATAAATTTATTTATTACAATATACATGTATTCTATATTTATTAATTTGTATATATATATATATACATATATTTCTGAACATATATATAGATATTTATATGTATAACTTTTTTTTTTAATTATTTTTAACATAATATTCAACAGCAACAATAAAACAGCCGACATTACACTTCCTGATATTTTGCAAGTCGTGCACGCAAGTCCATATTCTCTTGTTTTAACTGCTCGACCTCTTGATGTAAGGTTGCATTCTAAAATAATATAGAAAATTAAAAGTCAGGTTAAATTTAATGGTCGTAAGTATTTTGTAAAAATTATTTAAATATACATATACACAATTTAAGAAAAACATTAAAAATAAATTGTTTCATTAAATGTTACAAATCTTACTAGGTACATGCTAAGATTTATAACGTTTAATCGTGCGTGCTACATTACATATATTTATAACGTTTAATCCATGCTTAACTAATGCTTTAGTTCGAAATATAGACCAGCATTTCAATTATAAATGTATGTAACAGAGCAATGAGAATTAACGTTACGAATGAACTAACGAAATTCACAACTGAATACTGGAATGACCTGGATTTGGTATTTTAAAATTTTATAATATAAAAAAATTGGAAACTTTATATTTGAAAAATCAAAATTCTATTATAGAAACCCACGTAATATTTTATTTAATTATACAAAATTATAATATATGTAATTATGTATATGTATATAATTTATTAGTATTAAATAGATATACTACCTCCTTTTCTAAATATCTTGCTCTCATAGCAATTTGATTCTCTTTTTGACGTCTAGCATCTCTTGAACGTTTGGCAGCAATATTATTCTTTCGTCTTCTAGCCCAATACTTGTCATCTTTGAGTTCATCTGGAACAAATTGTTTTCTAGATTTCTTAATCATCGGTTGAGGTTTTAATTCCTCATCAGAAAACGCTCTTGTTCGAGGATCAAAATCACGGCCAGAGGAAGCAAATGAAAACGCTGAAACATCAAATACTTAAACGTTAACAATGTTTCAAAAACTGTCCATAGATAATAAAAAACGATAAAAAAAATTGATAACAAAAACAAAATAGAAGCAAAATATGATGAAAAAATAAGATCGATTTAAAAAAAAAAACAAAAAGAACAAAAACAAACACAATAGAAAATTAAATGAAAGCGTCCAAAAATATGAAAGACTTTTTTTTTCGAATTCATTAAAATTTAAAAAAATTAATTAGCAAAAATTTTAAATTTATTTAAAATTTTTGTCTTCAAAAATATTTAATAATATTATGCAATACTCGATTTAATTTAACAAATATTAGTTTTGTTTCAATTTAAAAAAATTTTTTTTTTAATTTAATTTTCAATTTTAACAACTTTATCGACTGAAATTTCAGCGCTGTCATTTGATTTCTTATGCACTTATTGATTTAGAGGGGTAATATATATATATATATCTATATATATACATATATAGATTTTGAATATTTACATAATTTAATATAAATAAGTAAGAATTTTATATTAGCTTTAGGTGTATAATATGAATTAAATGCATTCAACAAATTTTAAAATAAAAGCCATTGTTCCAAATAGTCAAATTGCTATTCGGAACTACTGTTAATATTCCAACGTTAATGTACGGTAAGTTTATTCACATCGTTACATAAAGACCGAAATGGATTCTTTAGAAGAATATTTGATATATCAAACTTGAGGAATAAGAAATTAATATATAAAAAATTCTAACACAGTATGCATTATTATTAATCAATTAATATTATTGAATTCCGTCCGACTAGTTTAATTTAAATTACATTTTCAAGAGCTAGCTCAAAGTAATTTACAAATCTTAAAGTTAAATACAGCTAGCTCAAAATTCACTAATATTAAACAATATGTTGAATGCATTTATTCTTTATTTATTGAAATAATGTGTTAAGTATGTAAATGAAATAATTAAGCAATTTAGTGTTTATAATTAATAAAAATTAACATATGTATGTAAATATTTTTTGTATTGAATTAGTATATAGACTCATCATAAAGCGAATTCTGGATATAATACTACACTGAATAAGTTTATTTAATTTTCAAAATTTTGCAAAATTTACGCATAAATTTGACGCAACGTTATAAGATTAAATATTTTAATTATACAGTATAATAGTTGATCCAAATTTCGCTATATGTACATATGCACATTTAGTAGAATAAAATAAAAATGTTAGTAAGAATGATCAATGTTAAACAAATTCAAAAATACATCAATGCGTGGTCTCCAATTTATTATTTAATTGTGTACCGCAGATGCATAAAAGCATTGATTTACAACTGAATTTGCTTATATTTCATGATTGAGTATGGTTAAAATATTAAATTAAATAATTGATAAAAAAAAAATACTCAAAATAGTTTCTTCTTTTTTACTTTTAATATTTTTTTAATTAATAGTTTGATATTCTGTACTAAAGTTGAGTCTCTTTTTTATATTCGAAATTTTTACTTAATTTTGGACTTGTAGATTACAAGAGAGAGCAGGGTGATTTTTGCATTTTATTTTTTGTTTCCTCTGGCTACGTTATTGCATACTTACTTGATTCAGCAGGGGAAGGTGGGTTAATTGTATCAGGGCTAACACAGTCTGATGGTGATGGTGAACGTTCACGTTTGGTAACATGTCCTAAACCCAATGTTAATCCAGCTGAATGAACTAATGAATCAGAACGATGTCCAAGACCAGCTGAATGACCTAAATGTGTTCCAGGCAGGCCATCTGGTATATTATTTTCTGATAAAAATTCATCTAAATCTGCATACTGTTATTAAAAAGGAGAGAGAAAAAAATAATAATATCAATTTAACGAAATAAATAAAAACTACAACAGAAAATATCAACAAACTTTCAATCGATAACTTCATGAATGAGTTGAAGATTGGATGAAAAGCAGAAACTGAATAAAATATTAAATGAATTAATGATACTTGGTGGAGTTTCAACTGAATTGTGATAAAATAAAAAATTTTTCATTGTTTTTCAATGTTCTCACATTTTTTATGACAAAAACATGTTTCGGAAATTAGATAGCAAAATGGAAATAAAAAATTTTACAATATTAAATTAAAAATATTTAGTAAAATAAAACGTTTATTTATAAAAAGTCTATTAAAAAAATTTGATATCTATACATTTTGGGAAATTATTATCGTATAAAAGGCTAGCTTTGGAATTGTTGGTATAAATTGGTATAACTTATAGAGGCCCTCATAATAATTAGGGCCCTTACATGGTACATGAAACTATGAAATTAATATATACATATATATTTTATAAATCTGCTTGTTATACAAAGCTTTAAAAAAATATAATAGTTTTCATATCATTGACTTTACCCACATTTAGCTTTATGTTTTATTTTTAGTTTAGTAAAATATGTAGTTTTAGTTTAACACTATTGAGGAACTAAATTCTACGGCTTTTTTAAAAGAAATATTGAAAATATGTAGTTTTAGTTTAATACTATTGAGGAACTAAATTCTACGGCTTTTTTAAAAGAAATATTGTTTTATTAAGTGCCTAATTAAATTCAATAACTCTGCTAACAATAACAATAGCAGAATGCTAAACTTAGAAATTACACCCGATTGAATTGAGTATAATTAAGGATATTAGAATGAGTACATAGTTGGACATTTGCCAGCTGAAGTTCAATTCTGAGCGGACAATTTAAAGTGAAAATATCTTTATCAAATATAATATTCTTGATGAAGTTCATATTATTTACTTCTTACATATATGTGTATGAATATGAAAGCATCTAATTTATTTTCAAAAATACTATTTTGTAAATTTTTTCATTAATTTCAAAGCCAGTTTCATATTTTTATTTGGAAGAAGTTTACATATCTATATACATAGTTATAATACACATATGGTCCTATTTAAATTTTTGCATACTTTAATGTTTCTTTTTTTTTGTATTTATTTATTTCCTTTCTCTGTTAATTAAATATTCTAATTGATTCAGAATGTCTTTTTTTTTTCTTCTGTAGATTATTTATTGTGTTTTTTGTATTAATTTATACGTTTTAAAATCTCGCGAAGATAAATAGTATGGGTACCTAGTTATATACTATATAGTTAAAGTTAAAAATACCCTTGTATGTGTAAACTATGCGTATTAACGAGCTAGAGCTTCTGGTTATTTATTTTTGCAATAATTGTAGGATATGTTTTTGACAAAATTAAATCCAGAAATATATATATTAGGGTGTTCATACATATTTTCACTTTTAGCAATTAATTTAGAGGTTGAAATTTGACTTCAATCTTATCATATCAGTTGTTAACAAAAACAACTTTATATTTATAAAGCATTTTAAATGGACACAATAATCCTATTTTTCGATTGAGGTGTATTGTTGCATTAAACTTCAATTTACCACTCACATGTACCCTTATGTTTTATATTTGCAGCCAACATGATGTAATTTTGTTTTGTCATCTTAATTCATTTAAAAAGTGCATTTTTTTGGCGAATTACTATAATATCTAATTAAAATCATTATTTCTGCTATTAAATATCATATTTATGCTCATACTTACTCCTAAAACACATTTGATACTAATAAATTTTACTAACTTTAATCATTTCTGTAACTAGGTAGGTAGGTACGTGCTTATTCACTGGTCATTAGCATGAGTACGATGCCATTTTCATGTTTTTTGTAAAATATTATTCCATTCAATATTAAAATTAAACGTTTTCTTAAATGTTTTAATTTTTATAAAAAAAAACTTTAACTTTTGAAAAAGTACTTTTCAAATTATAGCAATATGGGATCGCAATGCAACAGTCATTAATTTATTTAATATTTTATTTCAAGCAGTGACATTTCTTATCTACAATTATTGACATTCGCTCTAATTGATTTCCAGCTGTGTTTACACTGAAAATAAACAAACCATTTCGACCCATGGTAGAGCAAAAACATTTTTAGAACATTTTTTTTGAATATGTGAAATATTTATGTATCTACTCCAAAATATGTATCTCGCCCCCTGTTTATTGCTTTTTGGAAAGTTTAAAAACCTCTGTTGGAAAGGTTGTCATTTGTTCTAAAATATAATTTTAATATGTATATTTTAAATAAGGTAAATTGAGCGACCTTTGTAGATTTGGTAAAATTCGTCACACTTGTCTTATTTATGTGTGCAAGCTACTCCTGAGAAACGAAAACTGCACACCACAGAGATTAAATAGCACTTTAATTATATTATAAATATTAACAGCTAAGTAGGCTGTCAATTTTGCTGTTGCAAAGGTTGAAATTAGACGTCAAAAAATATAATAAAATAACATTAGAAACTACGTATATATTATGATCATGAGTAGTTTGCACACGTAAGTGGAACGCAGCTATTTAATACGACAGATAGAATAATTACGGTTTGTCAAAAAATTAAATAACATAAAATTCTTAGTTAACAAAAAAAAGTTTTTATTTTATGGAACAAAGCTTATTATTTTTTTTTTAATTAGATAAATTAATTAGAGACATTCGAGATAACTGATTTTTAAATAAGATATTGTATGATTTGTGGAAACAAATAATAATATGTGTGAATGCAAATTGTAATTGAAATTTACTAATTATACCTAGTCATTCGAATTATTAAAAACATTTTTGTGCCGTAAGCGACTTCCAAAATAGTATATAAAATACGGAATTTGGCTACCTAATATGTACACATATGTATGTAAGTATGTGCTTAATAATTTACGCTTCATATTTTACAAAGTTTTGTCAATGATATGCTAAAACTATTTTATTTAAAAAAAAAATTTAAATTTATGTATGAATATTTTATATTTGTTTTAATATTATATAATTGTAAAAAAAATTGAAATTGGAAGTGTACTAACTTGTGTTACCTTAAGGTCAGCATCGTATGGCAGAGTTTTATCCCATAAAGTTGGCCCCAAAAAGGCCGCTTGTGCTTCAACATTCCATGGATCACCATCTTCTTTAAATTTATCATCACCGCATATATCTTTACTGTTACTTGATTTGTTACCTATAAAAGAAATATCAGTAATCAATAAAAATGAATTTTTTTTGTATCCTAAACAATTACGAATGAAAAAATTTACTTTTATCAAAAAATCAAAAAGCTTAAAATACATACTACATACATACATATGTATTTATTATTAGCTTATGCTTAACAATGTAAGTATACTTGATAGCTATTATTTTTGGTATAGTTATACCTAATAAATATTTTTTTTAATAATTTTAGCTGGACTTCAGAATTGTAAAATTATCGCAAAATCATTGGAAATAAAATACATTTTATGACCATCCTTTAAAAATGATTACAATTCATCAAATATTTTTGCTATACCATTAAAATTTTGTTAGGAGAACAGACTTGTTTTCACATTTTACTATAATGGTAAGTAATTTTTTATATGAATTAATGTAATCATAATTACTGTATGACTAATTGAAAAATTACAAATATTTGGCGTACAAAATTAAGAATTCTCATGATGTTCATTTGATGTATTGTTATTAAACAATTGAGAAAAATATTTTTTTGAGATTTTCTGTTGAATTTATCAATAAGGAAAAGCGATCTCATACTACCTACATTAAAAATAACAGAAAAAAGGTTTCATCTGAAATGAAAGTGAAATTTCTACTTTCCTTAGTTTTTGGCTTTTCTTATTTTGTTTGCATGTGCAGAAGGTATATTCATATGAACATAAGAAAATGTATTGATGTACCTGTTTACAATATAGTTTTGTAAACAATATTCCCTTTTTTTAATAATCGATAAAAAATCCTGTTTTGATGCTGAACAAAATTGCAATTAAACAAGGGATAAAAAATATTGCTTAGGATAATTTATTATTTATTCGATTGTATAAAAGGTAAATAGACTAAATACATTGTACTAGATTTATTTAATGGAAAATTCACCAAAAACGAACACGAGCAAAGAAAAATCAAAAATTTAGATGATGAAGCAGAATTACCATTATACATACATGAATACATTTACATACTTATATGTATTGTTATGCAAACAAGATAAAGAGAATAATCAAACAAGTCATAATGTTTGATTAAACCAAAAATGTTTTCAGTTCCAATTGTAAACGATGAACTTATGTGAAAAATGTATCAGGATTTTATAATATAATTACCAATACTAAAGTAAAAAAAACTATAAATATTGTTTAAATTATTATACAAAAATATTTTTATTAATTTCCAATTTCTTTTAGCATTATACACATATATCGGCGCCTAAATTAAATAACATTCAGGTTTCATATAAAGGAATATATAAATACGAGTACTATTTTTTTTAAATATCTTCATCGCAAACTTCACAACGGAACTTATCTTCCAAACTTTAAATTTATTTAGAGAAGAAATAAGCAAAATCTTTCTTTTTATAACTTTTCATCATACTTTTGGGTTTGAATTTGAATAAGAGATTATCTTAATACAAACATTTCACATTTTAATGCACACCATAAAATTTTTTATGCAAAATAAACTATTTTCATTTCGTATAGGAATACATTAATGTTACTTTGGTTTAGAAATGAAGAAAATAAAAAACTAAAAGGTAAAAAAATAAAAGATCAAAAGATTGTTTTAAAGCAGGAAGTTGGAAAGTAAAATGTAAAATCTAAGAGATTGTAAAATATTTATTTTGTAGGTTTAGTATACCGTTCACTATGTTTGATACGTACATTTTGTTTTTAAGGAAAAAAATTTCAAAATCCCGTTCTATATAACGGGAAATTTTGTAAATTTCCTTTATTGAAAACCATAAAACCAGAAAAACAAAAGGAAAGTGAAAAATTTTGCTGCACCCCTTTAAAAAAGCACATTTTGTTTTTTTTTTTTGTGGTTGCTATTTCAATTTACACAATAGTTCAGTAATTTAATGAACGTCTTGGATTACTTCGTAAATTTAAAATATAGGCGAAAAATTAAATTTACAAAATTTTAATGTAATTATAATCTTGTTTAAATGAAATTTTTCTATTCGCTCCAGAGTTCCATCAGCTTACATCTTTCAATATAAAAAAGGGTTATGATAACAAGCTTATGATTTCAATACAATTTCATTAATTTTTAATTAGAGAATATTTCCAGATATTTAAATGATAAATTATCCAATTAGTTCATAAAACGAAAACGTGATAAAAAAGAAAAAAAGAGCAAATTATAAAATTGAAATTTTAAATAATTACTGAATTCCTTTGAACATATACGCTATTTTGGCACTATCTTCAATTTCTTTACACAAGTGTAGGTCACATTTCATTCATAAATTTTTTTCAAAAAATGTACATACATAAAATGTGTTGAGTTTTTTTTTATTCATTTACTTTATTTTATAATTTAGTTAATTTATTTGAATAGAAATCTTTGTTTTTACTAACAATTTTATTAAAATTAAATTAAATTTTTTTTTATGTAGTTTATTTTTAACAAATTTGTTGCCAAAAAACTGTCAGTGCACCACTTCAAAATCAAATTTTATGTTCACTTTGAATATTTTTTTTTTTTTGTAAAAATACATTTTAAATTTAAAATATAACGAGTGATTTCCCATTATAAAGAATGTATACACACATTTAAATACTTTTGTCATTAAAAAAGAAATCATTAAAAAATGTACACTAAAATAATATTTAAGCATATTTTATTCGTTAAAGGTTAATATTTTCATTTAACAAAATTCTATATAACGAGTTTTATGATATTGGATTTCGTTACATAAGCATAAATATTTAGTTTTAATTATGGATTCTTAAATTTGAGAATTTAGATTTGATTTGAAATTTAGACCTGAGAGGTTTTATTGGTATGGCAATATTTATTATACAAAATTTTGAATTTCAAATTTGTTCGAGTTTTTCGGAATTATTTGTGTATACCATTTCCGTTATATTGAATTTGAAGGAGAAGAATGATGTTGAGCTTGATCATTCTCATAATGGAATTTAGAAAATTCTTAAGTTCATTGCATTTGTAAATATTTTGAGAATTCAAATATGTAAATTTGAATTTTAAATACTTATAAAAAATATTTTAATTGTGAAAAGTTTTACTTTAAGAATATTTCAAAGAATTTTTCAATTTTTATTTAATAAATACGAAAATAAAATTGAAAAGCAAATAGAAAAAAACTAATTACATCAAGATTTTTTTCTGTTCCCAATCATTAAATTTTTCTTTTAAAAACATTTTAAAAAGAATTAGAAAATGTTTAAAAAAAAAAAATTGCAAAAATTTTAAATATTTAAATAAAAAGTGAAAAAGAATAAATTCCAGAAAATTTATTTGAATTTATCACGTTGGTCTTCATTTAAGTTTTGAGAAATTTGAAACTAAATTTTGTTTTTAATAATTATAAAAGTAATTTTAAAATATTATAAGTATGAGAGTTATTGTATAATTTTTATCATAAAAGAAAATTATTTTTATTTGCAATATTATAATTTTTATTTTATTCAAATCAGCAAATATAGATATTCGACTAAGATATGAAAACTAAATATATAAAAATATTTCAAAAATTTAAGTAATGTTAAGTACTTTATTAATCTGTTCGTTCTACTGGCTCTGAAACGATTTCCTGTATATGTATGTATGCATGGATAAAGTAAAATATATGTATAATTCGAAAAACAATCTTCTAGATAACATTATTTTTCACAGCCGTTGGTTAACTAGGAGCGGTACAGACATAGGACCATAATCTCACTCAGAAAATTAAAAATAATACAAAATGAAATATTCTTATATAGAGAATTTCGTTTTACAATTTCAAAAAATTATGAAAGAACTGATCTGATTTTAATATTATAAATAAGTTTAATTCATATTTTGTTATAAATTAAATCAAAATTCTTTTTTAATTAAGAAAACAATTTGTATTTAGCAAACAATTTAAAATTTATTTTGAATAATTTGAAATATAATCAAGTATTCCACCTATCTTAAATTATAAAATTTAATTGAGAATAAAATATGTTCTTTATTCTTAATCGATTAAGACATCGTAAAAATAATAAAATCGTGTATGATAAATTGACCAAGAACTTGAAAATTTTAATTTCATTCACTTACAAACTTATAGATAATTGTCATTAAAGTCAAAAAAAATATGTTTTACATACTATACATAAAGTAAATGAAGCCCAAAAATCATTGTTTTTCCACAAGGTTTTCCTTTTTTCTCTTCACATTTTCTATGTGTCCAATTTCCTTAAAAAAAAATATTTCCTTTTTCATCGAACATTGTACATATTTTCCTATATCCAATCGGCTGTAATATGTTTTAACAATATCTTAGTTATTTTAAAAATATTGTAATGGAAAAATACACAAAAATTAAATCTATTAAACAAAAACACAAAAATAAATAAATAAAAATTGTAAAAACAATAAAATGAAAAGTTGACATATCACATAAATAATCCGGAAAATTGATGTTCCTCACCCAAGGTTAAGGTCACCTTATTACAAATAAAGAAATTAAATAAAAAACAATAAATAAAACAAATATTTAAAAAAACACAATAATAAATAAAATCCAGTAAATAAGATTCACCCCACAATAATAATAATAGTGACAATCTGGGCATTAAAATAACCAAACGACGACATGTTTGTGGAAAAAAAAAACTTATTTCTTTATTTTGTTTTTCTACTTGATTTAATTCAATAATGCAAATTAGATTTTTCATTTACAATTTACAAAAAAACTTAGAATAATGCAATTAAAAATTGTTGCGAAAGTGTCCATTACAATAACTACCATATATATGCATATAAATGGATATATGTGGGTACGTTTGAATAAATGCATATTCAGTTGACTTTTTGACATATGGCTCACCAGTTTTTTATATAATAATATATTATTATATGGCTACAGTGCTGTTAAAATAAAGCTTAAAAAAGCTTTTTCTTAAATTAAATAATAAACACCCTAAAATTAACACCTACATACATGTGTTAAGTGTGCCCACACTTTAC